CAATCAATGGGAAACCATCCCAAGGGGATGATGATGTTTGAGCGGGAGCTATCGTGACTTTCCTCATCGGAAAATGGAATGCAAAAGTCGATATGCTTTTCAATCGGAAAATCGTGACCTCTTCCCGACAGGATCCTCTTCATGCCAACGATTTTTATTCCACTCGGATTCTTTTCAATCCGATCGAACGCATATGAAATATGCTATCATGGAAACGCAGCACGATATTGATGATAGCCTGCCTTTTACAAGATTGAATCCTCTCACACATGTTTGACTTCAATCATGAAGTTTGTTCGTTTGTTCTCGCATCGGCATGTGCGGATTTCGCCCGTATTTGCTCGTATCCGTCGTACACCACATGAGTAGAGTGATCAAGGTGAGCTCAAAAGCATGTTTTGCTTTGATCCTATACAGCTCGAAGCATATTTCATAATAAATGACTGCCAAACGAATTGCATACGGCTGCATCACGAAATTAACTCGCTCCACTACACAAACATAAAACTGGAAAAAAAGAAGCCACCTGCGCAGAAGATCATGCAATTTAGAAGGCACATAATTCAAGAGCAAAGGCCTCGAGATATTTCATGTGCGCATATCGCATTGTTATTTATCTTACGATTTCCTGCATCCGCCCAGCAGAAAAGATTGTGAAAATGTGTCACACTTCTCTCTTCGCTTTAAAAATCAAATTTCATTTATTGGTACTTCAATACGGTACCTTTCTTGGCACTTGTACACTGATACGCAGAATTTTACTTTAAATTATTTACCGTATTTCAGTGAGTGTCGCACAATAACTGAAGCTTTTTCAAGTTAAGCGGAAACCAAGCTGAAGGAAAGATCAGAAGAATGATTTATTTCACAAAAGCATTGTTTGAAATACGATATAGCATGTAGCAGAATATTTTCCGTATTTGATCATAGCCCGGAGAAAAACGCATTTGAAAAGCACGGACGAAGCAGCGCATCCAATATTCGAACTGGGAAAAACTTCTTACAATGGAACACGAATTGTACCTTTTACTCCTGCTATCTTCCCACTAATAAAGTTCAAAACTAATCCTTCTTGATCTGTTTGTCTATAGAAAAAGTATCCGCACGTAATTGCAGTGTAAAGGAGATCGGCACACGCTTCGCAAAATTCGAAAAACATAAAACTCAAATGAGCGTTATATTTGAATGTACTGTAAAACACTGCTCTGGACATGTTTTCTCAATCTTGCTTCAAAAATCAATCCGCAATTCTGTGGTACACGTGTGATAATCTCCACCTCACAATGAATTCGGAAACTTCGTGTCCGTAAGTTATCTTACTTTTTTCTCCAGAAGCTTCCCCTTTTGTGCTGAGATTTTTATTAAAATGCCTTCAAAGTTGTAATGAGGACATAATTATGGCAAAAAGTGATCGTCGAAGAAGACTCGCCCGAGGCCACGGCATATTCGTCAATATGGTTATATTTTGAGAGACATTGAAGGTTTTGCACGGGAGATCTTCAGTCAGGTGTAAGAGCCAGGAGCTTGTTCCTTAAATTTTTTTAGAAGGTAGTTCCCGAGGGCGATGAATCCACCCTCTAGCGTTCCAAGCACAAAATACCGAGAACGCCCTGCCCTAATGAGGCCCCGTTGGTAACACTACCATTCCGGTTTTGTGGGGTTTTTTTGCAGGACTGCACGGTAGGATTAACAACCGGTTGTGCTTGCCGCGCTGACGGCAGAATGCATTCGACAGCCGTCCGGGCCAGTCGACGCGCGGAAAAGTCCCAAATTTTGTTCCCCGTGTTACACAGCCGGATGTTCTCACTGTCCTTCAGCAACAAAAAGGTCCACCACTAAAAATAAAATATAATACCGATTACATGTTCTTGAGCGAGCATTCTACGTCTCGTCTTAGAAGCAAGTTGTTCGTATCAGGAAATAATTATTTTGTCTTTAAGTCGCGGATTCCAATCGTTTCCGCCCACGTGCGTTGAACATTCAATTCCTTGTGCTTTCGAGACTTTTCGTCTAAGATCATGTCTTATTTCACGCAGCGTTTGGAGAGAGAGAAAAAAAACTGTTAACGTCCTGGGAGCAAACTCGTTCGTGGCTTTAGTACTGACCGCCAGTACTGTACTGAACGTCCCAAATCATGGTTGAGGCATGCACGTGCTTTATTCATTTTACTTTTTTTTTTTTTAATTTAGCTTGAAATGTGAGGTGTTGCGAGAGCCGTTCCCAGCCACGACCCTGGGAACTCGGAGAGAATTAACGAATTTCTCCGACGAACCGTGCTATGCGCGACATGTCATTAAGTCCCGTTGCAACCCGGCGGGTTTGCATTTTTATTTATTTATCTTAAAATTAATCGAGTCACTGCTTCCCGGTATTTTTAGTTTTCTTGGAGAAAGGGCAGAGAAAAAAAATGTGGTGACGCACGCATGAAGAATTTTGACCGTCTTTGTGGTTATTCTCTCCGGGTCGTTTTCGCTATAACAGTACGTCTGAGAATTCAAAATTAAATGAGTGATTATGCTACCGATTTTAAGGAAAGTATCCTCTGAGCATTGCCTGGGCATCTCTAAAAATTTTTAGGGTCTCATTTCCGGTCCGGAGAAGAAATGCAACATTTTTAACGACTTAAATGCTAAATTGTGGAAGAAAGTACTCTTCTTTCTATCGCTTCAACAATTCTAATATATTTAGGTGGATATGTCGAGGATATTCTCTCTGTCCTTAAGAGGATGAGAAGCTTCAGAGGAACAGCTAAAGCAGGCAAATATCCTGAGAACTCTGAGCAGTAACATGATCCGAGTTCCGGGAAGATTGCAGCGCGAATGAGCTGCTTATGTTCAAAAGTCTAGGAACTAATTATGCTACATGCATTTATCAGTTTCTAGGCTGGGAAAGCCGATACAAGTTTCCTATCTGGCATTCGCAAGAAAGAAGCACTGATGGTAACAGCATCCAAACTTGTTCATGTGTGTCGTGTGTTAAGGCTTAGCCCGTTCTAGAACTGGACAATCCCCTAATTATTTAGCTTTCATGTGTGTGCGGGGAAATGACGTGAATTTAGTTGGAAGAATTTTAGTCTAAGAAATTTTGAACCATATCCGTCGAATTCATGTCCCAAAGAAACGAATGTGGCATGCAGACGCGCAGCGAAAAATGAAAACCTGAAGCCTGTAAGGAAAACCGGGTCCCGGCTAAAATTCTTTCAGGAAATCATCATGACGGGATTTCGTCGTGTACTGAAGCATCGTGAACCAGTTTAATTGATGCAATATATTTGGGGAAGGGAAAAATATCGAATCGCCGCAAAATTCCGAAGATAGTCCAACGCGGTACTTCATCTCGTAAGGAATCACGTCGGATGCTGTGTTGGTGAGCTTCATCATGTGAGTATCTGAATAAACCAGTTTTGCTAATCCAGACACATGAAAAGTTCACCCTACATTTCAAGTTTATTCGCACGCTATCAGGTTCACAAGAACTTGAATTTGCGCAGAGGTATGAAGACCCGAATTCTGAATTTCCTCCAAGGAAGGCGGAGAGCAATATTCATTTGAATGGATGAACAGAAAGCTTTATTACGAACAGAAAGATGTATTTAGTTTTTAAAAAATCTCTAACAGCATATCATCCGGAAAACGTCTGTCTGGCACCTATATGGGTGAGAGAAGGGAGACCTTTTCCATTTCGGGATTACAACTAGTACATTTCATCTTCGGAAAAAAATGTGACATCCTCATTTCATAAAGTAATGTTGAAATGCAAAGATGAACGATTAAAAATGAAGACTGCTCAAGGAAAATACAGTACATTACTGGTCTCCCAATGGTTCGTTATATAAGCAGAGCAGTGCATGAATCGCCCCGCGATGCACCCCTATAAATAACCCCTGCATTTCTCCAGGCAAGAAGTTAATTTGATTTGTTAATCTTATTTCCTGATTTTTGACATATGTCATGATCACCTGCATTGTTCCCAAAATTATTAACGTTCTTATGGATTTTTTACCCTATTATAATATCCAACTCATGCCTCTCGCTGCGCGTTCGATTCGGATAGCTAAAAAAGAATTTATTTCTTCATTATCGACCAGATCTAAGACTTTCCGAAAAAAAATCTCAATTTTTTGGTTCTAGGATCTTGAAAAACCCGGTCACCAGAAATAGAAGTAATGTACGTCATATTCTTTCAAGCAGGCGTATTTTGGGCATCATGCCGAGCTTACGATTTCATATACTGTAATGCAACGTTATTTTCCCGTGTTTTTATACCCTGAGCGATTTGAAATAGAGGAACCAGATCTGTCAACTCAAGACGGAAATATTGGTGACAGTAAAACAATCATATGTTGGTTTCTACCTTAAATTTAGTGCAGTCGAACTTCTCCAAGTTGAATTTCAAGGGACCAGCAAATAAATTTGACTGAGGGAGATTATTAATTAGGGAAACACGCATTTTTGTTGTGGGGAACATACACAGAAGAATTGCAGGAAATCGTAAATGACGATATTTTGGGTATTAAATTGCTTATTGAATGAGTTGACAGGATGCTGAACTTTGAGGCATGGGTTCAGTCGCCCAATTAGTCTTCAACTTCCTTTCAAAACACATGGTAACTTTTTTATTGCTTTTAATTTCCTGTTTCAAGAAAATAATAGCCAGAAGGCCTCAGAAAATCGGACGTACGGAGACTTCAGATGAAAAGCCTTTGAGCTAGAGTAATCTTTAATGCATTGTTCCTAAGGGATTTCAGACACAAACTTGAAAAAAAAAATTCGACTTAGAGAGGTTCAGCTGCACATGCATTTAATTATGGGCAGCTTATTTGTTGGAAAATAAACGAACGAGTTTGAATGCAGAGCAAACATCGGCATAATGTGTCCAGGGTTCAGAGACTTGTACATACCATAGCATTGGAATTTGCATGAAACTTCGTTGAAGGATAGGAGAAACGCACGTGGAATATTTAATCAACTAATGCAGCTGTCTTACAGCTTCAGATAGCCATGGTGGGCGAAATCGAGTTGGCCGGGCTATTTGAGAGCCGCGACTCGATAGACGGGTATGATGTCAGCAAGAACCTCTCGGACTACGAGGACCGGCTCGTGTCCGGGCTTCACTTCTCCAATTTCTCCAACTTGGACTGGTTCAACTCGTCCAACATGTCCGAGCTCATTGCTGAGAACTCGAGTACCGAGACCCGGGACGCCGCGGCGCCGAAACCTGCTTATTTATTCCTCGTGTTCCTGCTGTTCTCCGTGTTCACGGTGTTCGGGAACGTGCTCGTCATCCTGAGTGTGTGCCGTGAGCGCGCCTTGCAGACCGTCACCAACTACTTTGTCGTCAGCCTGGCGGTGGCGGACGTGCTGGTCGCCGCGGTGCCGATGCCATTCGGCGTCTATGTCCTGGTGAGTCCAACGAAATCCCGCGGAAACCCCCGGTCTGAAAGCATTTCCGTGTCCCGTGCATTTGCGATCGCGGCGGCTCTGGGTGCACGGGCAGGACAAAGAAAGCTTGACTGCGGCCGCGCCAACTGCCTGGCATAATAATTCTGGGGTATATTTGACTTTCCCGGGACGAAGAAACCGAAAGAAATCGTGATCTAAAAATCGACTGCAATCGATAATTTTTCTCCAAGTTTTTTTCCCCCATTAATTGTACCGCATATACCTTAATTGCGAACATGCAGACGAGGGCAATACGGAGGTGGATGGCGGTCGCTCCATCAGGGGCATTCCTCTTTTCGTTTTTTTTTTTTTTCTTGGGGGGGCTGGTTCCTCAGGTTCGGGCCCTGATGTACTGAAATTGCCTCCTTCTCAACCATGCTTTGATAGCCTTTCCTAGATATTGGCTTTTATAACAAACAAACTCAAATAGCGTCTGGATCGTAGAGAACATGCGTAACGACCCTAACCGTTTTGTTTCATCTTACGCGTCTGTCGCGTCCTGATTTTGATTCTCAGGCTAAGGAATAAAATCTATAAAATCCGGAAGTTTGAAAACTTCTTAGACTTAGAGTATACTTAGCATCCAGGTTTGAGTCCATCATTTGGGGAAACGAGGGCATTTTCAATCTTTTATTTTTTTTTCATTAAGGAATTAAAAATTTCAGAGGAAATCACAGAAGAAAGACTCCAATTAAATGTTAAGACACACGCTATAACTTCTACTGTTGGACTGAATTATGCCACCACTATATAAGCTTCGATGTTTTTCATTCGGTCCAAAAATTCGGAAGCAAATCTTGACAAACCGGGAATACTCCTTTGAACTCAAGATCTTTTTGGTAATCTCTTTTGTCAGAAGCCAAGCGGAATAACGGAAAAATGGGAACAATGCGAAAAAAACTCGGATTCACGTCAATACAACGTATTTTAGCTTAAACTGTTCAGAAGATACAGTACTTCAGCTTAAATATTGTTCACAATACCTGTTTTTTTCACCCCGTAGATCTGAAAAACATTTTATTTTCTCAATTTTTTCAAAATCGAACATTTGGAAGAGACTTGAGGAGAATTTCACCGAATAATAGTTTCATTCTTGGATACGTTTTGAATAATGCAACTCGCATTACGCAACGAAGCGGCAATTTAATCATTCCCGTGGCTCTTTTGGCAACGGAATCGCGTCTCGGCGCGTTCGTGGGAAATTAAGAAAATTTCGTGCCCCGAAGGCCAAATGTACTTCTATTCAGAAATGTATATGGATCTTGTAGAAATTCGGTCTGTATAGAATTCGATCAAACCAGGAAATCGATGCGCTCACGCCGTGAGGCGACGCCGGGACGGGAAAGCCGGCCAGAATTTGGCCTTACTTTTCTTCGCCGACGCGAATGGCTTCCGACGTTTCAATCGGAGCAATGCCAGCAACAAAACACTCTTTTCCTCCACTGACCGCGTGTTTCCTTGGGTCGGGAATTTAATCGTGTGACCCGACGCCGGGTCACGGAAGGAGCGTAGAGTCACTTGCCGTGTCACGCATCGTCTTTCGTCCCATTATGTACCTGGTAACATTCCTCCACCGCCGCTTCTCGGGTTTCCCAGGCGAAGCAATGTTTCGTCTTCGTCCCTTTTGCAGTGATGGCTTGGGAAGATCAGCTCATCGCTTACCTCCTTTGCGAACGGGGCTCGGGTTCCCGTGGAGCAGATAAGACCCTAGAATTGATCCCCGGAAACAAAAAAGAGGGATAAACGAAGTTAAGCGGAAAAACGCGGGAGGAACTGAGATCGCTTGAAGAAATGGAGCGTTGGAGACACATGAGATTTTTAATCTTGAACGAGTTCTTCAGCTGCGCAGTACCGTTCCTGAATCCCCTTCGAAGACTCCGTGATGAGCAGGAAAAGTTCCGCATTCTGCTCCAGACTTTTGTGCATGCGTACATTGCCATTGCCTCCGATCCCGTGAACTTCCGCATACGACAACCCGTAATCTTAATTGAGGCATCCGAACTTTTTGATGCTGCTTCGTTTCCCCGGGGAAAATCTGGGTTGCTCCTATGTTCACATCTCGAACCATGCCCGGGGTTCAGTCGCTTCGTGATTCAGATTACTGCAGGATCCAGCCTCAAGTCGGATCCCCGGACGAAAACTTGAATTCCACAGGGACTTCCTGCGGCTCTTGCACTTCCGTTCTGGCCATAATTATACATATTACACATTTTCCGGCAGCATGATGGAGAATTATTCCATCTTTTTCCATTACAAAATAGCGATTCGTCATTCAGTGGGAAGTTCAACCGATGGTATGCGTAACAAGTCTGGTACACATGTCATCTGACAAGTGATACGCAAGACAAATAAAAAGGAAAGACACTGCATTAAAAAGAAAAGGTGTAACATTTTTGGGAAATTGATAGCGGCCCGGGACACACAGCAGCGTTCTTTAGAATTTCAACTCCAAGCATTGATTATGCGGAAATGATCAGTAGAATTTTTGAAGTAATAATATACTAAATACGTGTATGTATTACAATACTAATTTAATATACGGATGATACTGTACAAATGCGAATCCCTAGGTTATTTGAGAATAATGATATTGAATGAACAGGAAATTTTCGAAATACTGGAAAAGCTTTGTATCATCACATTACCACATCATTGGGTGTCATAAAGTGATCCTCACTACAGTATAATGTCGAAATATTTTCTTAATTTATTTTCACATTGCAAATCGAATGTCTCCTCATTTTTTTCTGGAACTTCTGGAGGTAGTACGCAAATTTTGCATGTCTTGAAAGCGGTAAAAAAAATCCTCATTAACGCATCATTGCATCACATTCTGTATTTTTTAGAGTTGAGATGATTCGAAAGAGAGAAAAACATAAAATCCGGTATTTAAATGGGACATTTTTTCGTTTATTTTTCAATGGGTTCAATTGAAGATTCTTCTTGATGTCGGAGAAACAATACTGGTTTAATGCCTCCACACTAATTAAAGAGAGACTCGTAGATAATCTTACTGCAAATAGAAGGAAATTTTAACTTGTCCAGAATTCGAAAGAGAATGCAGAAAATACTGCTTCGAATGAATTTTTAAGGTTATGTCATAGCATCCGTGACCCGCACAACACGCGACACGTGTTCGTTACTGCGGTCTTCCTGAGGAACGCAGGGTCGTGGTCTGTCGCAACAGCGTTGAATTTTTACATGATTAAAAGAATCGTGTCTAAAGATAGAATCCTTTTAGGCAAAAGCGCATTTCTTCCGAAGTGCGTCAACTGTACAAGTTCTGAGAAACCAAATGTTGAGGAAAAAACTTGCACCAAGGTTTCCCTGGAGATACGACTTGAAAGCTTTTCTGCGAGAATGTTTGTGATCCCAATGTTCTATGTGCATTCGGCTTCACTCCGCAAAATTTAATGAATGAAAAGATGCAACCTTGTGCCAGTGTTATTTTCCCCTCGGTGCAGTAAAACTTTGGAGAGCACAATTGGGAAAACCCACACGAATTTAGTTTCACGCTCCCACCTATATAGATCCCTACCTTCACGCTAGGATAAATGTACGAAAAAGGTTCCATAAATTTTGAGACAAACGCTCTTCTTCAAAAACATAAAAAAACAACCTTTAAAAAAACCCCCTAAATGGGTTGCATGAGCGTCATTCTGAGCTAACCTAATTTTTAAAAATAGATTTCATGCGCAACGGAGGACGGCTGAGGTCTCCATTAAAAATATAACTCACATTTCCGTCTATGAAAGTCAATAAATCATCCCAGAACTGTTTTTGGCGGACTGATATCGTGAAATTTCTGCGGACCAGCTCTATAGTCGGCGGAACACTGACTGAAGAACCTTATTTTCTAACGACTATTGTCGTCACAAAACGTTTTGGCAAGCTTTTTTCTCATTATTAATTTTGGAGTTTTCCTCAGTTCATCCTTATTACTGGAAATGTTTCCCGCCTTCTGAGCTCTAAACAGAGATCAAAAGCATGTTCAAAACTTCAGGTCATACTAGAACAAATGTGAAAGTGCAGTGGGTTCTTCGTGCCGAAAAGGGTTGCGTAGACTCAATAAATTATGTTGAATAGCAATGACGTGATCCGGAATGAGAAAATAATGTGAAGGACATCTTCTTTGCATTTAAATTCTTTTACATGCGCGCATTTCTTAAAATATCACACGCTCTCACGCTAAAATAATATTTTCCCTGAAAAATCCCTCACATCCCTATATATGATGATTGATATTTTGTTTTTATTTTTCGTTCAAATTTGAAAGAAGAAGAGTGAGCTTGGTAAGTTAGGAAATTCAAGTACTGTATAGATCATTTCTTCAAATTATTCTCGGAACTGATGAACAATTCTTAGTAACTGATGCAGATGAAACCCAAACTGAACCAGGGCATCCTGCTGAATGGAAATAATTTTTAGCATAGAGCAAGGTGCGAACCGCGTATTTATTTCAATATTGGAGTGAGTAGTATTCAAGTTAATATTGCGCAGCACACTCAGTCTGAGTATTCCCAAACTTGAGGATCATGCCTCGCGCGTAGCTGCGAATGAAGCCTGGCCCAAATCTGCTGGCTGATTAGAAACTAATTTCGTGCGCACAACTATTTCTCGGGCCAGTCGTTGCTTGGGACCCAAGTTTGATGCGGATCACTCGGTCCACCGGACGGAAGTACCACGATGGGGAATATGGAAGACTCGGAGACACTGTTGGGCGAAAATGAGGATGGAAGATGCCGGCTCACATCGGCCCGGGGTTAATTTTCTCCAGGGATTTCTCTGTTGCTAACTGCTTTTGCTGGATACATGTGCCTATCGATTATCGATCGGGGCCATCGTGAAATTTCGCTCGTACGCGGTGCGCCGGAATAAAGCGGTCTTTCCCCTGGAGAGCAAAGATCGCCGGGTGCCATTTTCATCAAGGCATCCAGCCGAGGATCTTCTGAAGTCGAGCTTTATCTGAGAGTTACACCGCGCCCAGTTGAGCTCATATTTTAATAACCTCCGCTTTATCCGCGTCTTATCGGGCGATTAGCTCTGTTTTTTCGCGACAGGCCCTACAAAAATATCCGCGGAGTTGGGGCGAGAAAATA